GGTGGGATGAGGAAAGTACTCCCCCATTTTTATTTTTTACTTTTGAAGCACGTTCCTCTTTGAAGCACATTCTTCCCCAATTTCAGCATATCGACGAGGTCGGAGAAAGATAAGTAGGACAAAACCGAGGTGGGACAGCACTTTTGGGGATTTTGGGAAAATTACCAGGCCGGAGAAAAGTAGGCCGGACAATCTAACTACACCCCTTGCAGGTGACGCTGGCTGAAGGCTGGCGTCCAGAAACGTCTAATGGGTTGCCTCCCAACTGGGGCGATGAAACCAGAGCCTGTTGCAGGTCAGAGCCCTGCACCGGCTTATGTGTCGAATGGGTTGCCTACAGCAACGGGGCGTGCGTGGAGGAGTCCAGACTACCGATGTGCGCAGAGCAGGGTGCGGGAACGGTAAAGTGTAGGGGGGTAATGCAAGAACGCGGTGAACGTTGTGAAAATAATATATTTATTGTACTATAAAATCATATTATTGGACATATTTGTATCAATGGCATACTGAGGTTTATGATACAGAGACCAACTCAACCTTAATATTTAGTGCGCTGTTTCGTTTGAGCCTTTTCTTTAAAAAAAAAAATGCATATATTGCTGCTATGTGAAACATTCCAGCACACATAAAATATAACAGCTAAATATTAATAATTAGTTCTTCAGTCTTTCGTCGTCTCTGTCCATGTTAAACAAGTGGCACAATGTCGCGAGCGGCTCATGGTCTATCATGTCGTTTACAATTCCAGCCTCATTTCGAGGCAAATGGCATAAGATACATGAGCAAAAAACATATACGAGAATTACAAATGTGTGAATAACGTCCTGAGCCCGCGCTTCCCACACGACAGCAGCGCGATCGGGCCTTTGCTCAAAGAGATCGGAGTCTTCACAGAAGACAGAAAGGGGGCCCGACGACTCGAGCAGGACGAGCAAGAGGAGAGAAAAAAGTGTTGAATCCCATCCCTCTGCTTCACTACGCGACTGTTTGTTGACTGGCGAATGGCGCGGATCCCGAACAGCAGAGCAGCCGCAGTGCTGGCACCCCCTTCGCGTAGAAAAATTCCCTGTCGGCGGGGGGCAAAAGGGTAAGTTAAGTCTTTCGGAAGAGAGCGATCGCGGGGCGCGGCACTCGCCTCCTGGCGGCCGCTCTCTTCTCTGTTAGACAGTCCCCTAAAAGACAGTCTCTACCAGAAGGTAAAGTCTCGTTTTTCCCCTCGCCGAGAGACATTTCCCGGTCGGGCGGCACAGCACGCTGCTGCCTTAGGCCCTGGTGCCGCCGATGACGGTGCGCAGCAGGCCGACGCGCTCGCGCAGCTGGTAGCGCGGCTTGGGCTTCTCGCAGAGCAGCGCCTCCTCCACGCCGCGCAGCGCCGACGAGCCCAGCACGTCGTGGTGCTCCACGCCTTCCCTGCAAAGCACAGAGTGGTGGGGGCGTTATTCGCATGGTACCGGACCAGAGGTATGGTCGCCGGGCGGTTCGCAGTCAGGCAACCCAGTCGGCAGTGGCGCCAGCTGGGCTGCCCGCCTCGCGGGCGCAGCGCCGCAGCGCCTCGTCTGGTCCAGGGAATACTCATGAAAAAATAACACCCTCCAAAAAGTCATAAAATTTTTCCAAAAATCATGGAAAAATAAAGGATGTCAATTAAAAAATCCGAATAAATCAGAAAAAATCGAGAAAATATCGGAACAAAAATTCAAGTAAATTGGTTTAAGCTTGAATTCGGAGGTAAGGTTGGGCCACCTAACATCCTAACATCGCGTTTGGGGCCGCCGACCCTCCAAGCCAGTTTCCAGTCGACATTTATGTCGACTTCGGTGACAAAAACCACGAAAGTTAGTCGTCGACGTCGTCAGATTCCTTACCTCGGCGGCTGGAACAGCGCCTCGCCCGTGGCGCCCTCCGGGGGCTGCAGGCTGATGACGGACACGCCCAGGGGCTCCATCTCGGTGCGCAGCGCGTTGGTGGCGCCCTCCACGGCGTAGCGGGCAGCCGTGTAGGCCACGGCGCCGGCGCCCGCCGCGGCCCCGCTCAGCGCGCCGGGGGCGCCCACGTTGAGGAGGCGACCTGGAGCAGGACGGGAGGGCGTTAGTCACGGCGTTGGCGACTTCCTCCTGAGGGCTGCGGTGCGGCGGTGACAGCGACCGGTAGTTAGGACCTGGCAGCGATTAGCGCCCCTTGATTCGACCCGAGTCGGCCCTCGTGGCTTACGCCCGTGACTGAGGGGTAAACAACTTTGGACTCTGACACGCAAAAAAAAGCGCGACAAATTTCTTTCTGTATATTTTTGTATTATATCCCACGTACTTGTTTATTTTAATGGTATTTCTAACGCAATGAATGAACAGTCAGTGAAGAAAGAACTGTGAGTCGTTTTAGCGGTCGTTTTCAACCTCAGGCAGGCGTGACCTGCCCGACTTTGCCACGCGAGGGGAACCCTTTCTCCCTGTTCGTCCTTGTGGGGGAAATATAGCTACTACCGGGTGCCATCCTATGCCACTGAGGCCCCCGGCCCAGGTCACACGTCACCAGGCCAAGCAGGGAGACCCTCTCTCCCTCTCTCTCTCGCCCTCGCCGGACTCACCCTTGTTGCTCCTGAGCAGCGGCAGGAAGGTCCTGGCTGTGCGGAAGGCGCCCACCACGTTCACCTTGAGCATGGCGTCCCAGTGCGTGTTCTCCTGCAGCTCGAGCCGGCCCCGCGAGCACAGCCCCGCCGTGTTGATCACCGCGTGCAAACCTTTGTGAAGACAAAAATTTAAATTTAAAACTAAGAATCTCTCATTTTTTGGCATTTTGTTTCTGTAAAGGCAAAAGTAAGCTGATTTAGAAGTAGTGAATCAAGGCAGCTCGATCCTGTACCATCGTGGCCGGCGGGCAGGTGCCTCCGGATGACGTCCATGGCCTCGTGCAGGACGTCCTCGCGGGTCACGTCCATGGGCAGGGTGACGAGCGAGCCCTGGTAGGGCAGGTCGCCGAACACGGCCTCCTGGTGCTTGGCGTGCGCGCGGAGCAGGCGGGCGCACAGGCCGTCGGCGGCTGCAACACAACACAATTACATATGATGATGATGATTTCGCTTCAAAAACTATGAAAATTGCTCGGGAAATAATTGTAAGGGAAGCAGTCATTCTTCCGCCGGTTACGGTCGCGCGCGGGGTGCAGTCGGTCGCGCTGATTCCCCCCGCAGTCCAGTAATAATCCCTGGTCCCCTCGCGAGCCGAGCGTCGCGTCGGACTTTCTAAAGCGGAAACAACGCCCGCGAGATGACCCCGCCGCCGCGGCAAAGCGCGGCCGAGGGCGGGGTGGGCTGGGCGCGCGAGGCGAGCAAGAGGGAGAGGGCGGGCGTCCGCACGGCCGGCACGGGACGGGACGAGGAGCGACGCGGAGTCAACGAGGGAGTCAATCAGCAAAGGGGTGGGTTGGAATGAGAAAGCCTCGGTCGAAACAGATCTGCAGCGCTCCCTCCGCGAGCAGCAGCAGCAGCAGCAGGAGCGGCAAGAAGAGCACGGGGAGAAGCAGAATGAAGAGCAGCAGCAGGAAGAAGAGTATTAGGATGAGTATCGGGAAGAGGAGGAGTACCAGGACGGGCACAGCAAGAGGAGAAGCAAGAGGAACAGCAAGATGAGCAGCAGGAGGAGCAGCAGGAGGGTCAACACGAACGGCAGCAACCGGAGGATCAGCAGGAGGATCAACAGGACGATCAGCAGGGGGAGGAGCAGGAGGATGGTCAACACGAACGGTAGCAACCGGAGGATCAGCAGGAGGATCAACAGGAGGATCAGTCGGATGAGGAGGATCAACAGGAGGATCAGCAGGAGGAGGCAGGAGGATCAACAGGACGATCAGCAGGGGGAGGAGCAGGAGGATGGTCAACACGAACGGTAGCAACCGGAGGATCAGCAGGAGGATCAACAGGAGGATCAGTCGGATGAGGAGGATCAACAGGAGGATCAGCAGGAGGAGGAGGAGGAGCATCAGGAGGAGCCGCAGGAGGAGCAGCAGCAGCAGCAAGCCCCCTTCACGAGGGCTTTCACTGCCGTGCCCATCCAAGCAAGCTCCGGCGGCCCGCTCTGCCCTGGGGCCCCGCGTCAGGCGAAGGCATCATTTTCCACTTTTCTGAACATTATTTATTTGCCCGGGACGCGGTGGGGCGCGGCGAGCCGGGCGGCGGCGGCGTGCCGACGGGCTTACGTGGTGGTGAGGGCGGCGCTCTGCGATACGAGCCCCGGGGAGGAGCATCATCAGCTGGACCGTATACGTCTCGCATCTCACCCGCACACACTCCATCTCTCTCACCGCCTTTATCCGGCTGCGTCTCTCTCTCTCTCTCTCTCTCTCTCTCTCTCTCTCTCTCTCTCTCTCTCTCTCTCTCCGTCTCTCTCAACGCCTTTCTCAGTTGTCCGATGAAACACGGGGGGGAAGCCTTGTCGTACACCACACCACTGCAGCGAGTCGCGCAGGGGCGGCCGGTAGTCGCGACACCTCCACCGACCTCCCGCAGAGGTGGGCGTCGCCCATCCATGTCGAGCGAGGTGGTGTGGCAGTGGAGTGCAAGGTGCTGGTACATTGTACACATTGTGGCAGCGAGGGGAAGGGGCAGTTGTAGTGCATTAGCACACGACGAGGACTCTCCCTCACTTCCTCATTGACACACACACACACACACGCACAAGCTCACGCACGCGCACACTACTTCCGAAAAGGCTTTGCCGAAGGCTGTTTGGCCGCGACGGCGACGCGACGCGCGTCGAAAAATTCAAGGCACTCGGCCACGTAATCCGGTGCCAAGGCTGACTACACACGCTGAATACACACAGCCCTCCGCACACTCACACAAACACACACACACACACAGAAACTCACTATGAGAGGAAGGATAGGCGAGTAGCCGGACCGAGAGGGGCACTTTTCATTAAGTACCAATGTATGCATATGGCCCGCTCCGCCATATCATGTAATTTAACACAATGTAATGATTATAATGATGATGCACGGGCCTCGGAAGCTGGCCGCCGCGGGGTGCCCCGCACCGTGAGGGCCGCGGCGACCCCCCGCTGAGCTCGCGGATCGCGCGGCACGCGGCCGAACGGCCTTCGCGCGTCAGGACCGCAGCCCGTCATCTCCCGGGGACGACCAGAGACGTCATTTAGTAACATTCGCTTCTTATTGATGACTTTACCGAATTCGGCCGATCCCGCGGCACTTTGCAGCACACCGACAGGCGGGCCGGATACCGACTAACGTCTCTTCAAGATTTTTGCGAGCTCCCTCCTTTACATTATTATCGTGACACGGTGACACCGTTCACCGCGCGACAGCCATCTCCTCCTGTGACCATTTCTCCTTCCTCCCCCCCCCTCTCTCTCTCTCTCTCTCTCTCTCTCTCTCTCTCTCTCTCTCTCTCTCT